TATCACCCCGGGGGATGTGTGTGTTCGAATCCCACCACCACCGCCTGACTTTCGCCATTTGTGTATTGAATGGCAGCCCGTTGATTGGCCGCTTCCCCTCTTCCTGAAAATTGTACCATTGTGTTCCATAAAAGAAAGAAATGGAGAGAGAGAGAGAGAGAGAGACAATACACTCGGTCGTTGAACGCCACATCATGAAAGTCTGGCATATCGGATCTCACATGCGTTTTGTTTGGAGCTCATGAACATTTAAGGTTTTTCATTGGGAACTCTGACTGGAACATTTGACCTGTAGATCTGACATCGAATCGAACACCGGACTAGGAGGGCAAAAGTTTTCACTAAAGTACTTCCGATTATGTCCACCAGTGAATGCATTCCTCGGCTTTTTGTTAATCGGGAGGGGGGGGAGAGACGAAACAATGGAGGTAGAAAAAATTTTCCACGTTTTTTTGAAAAAAACATTTTCACGCAATGAATTGGTTTGCATTTTCATTCATCCTCTTCCACACCTGAATTTCAAATGTTTAAGATGTGAAACTCATTGGTATCTCAGTGTTTATGACCCCAGCGCCAGATTGCATGCGATGGATAGGTTAAGAACGCTCCTTCAGCTGCTCCTGCTGCCTGTGTCCGTTTTGTCAAGTTTTCATCACACCTCTCTTGCGTCGATTGCATGATTTGGCATACGCTTGTGTGGTCTTCCTACACCTCTCATCGGGGTAACGGAAATGAAGAGAGAGAGAGAGAGCGAGTGAATCTCTTGTTTGTTTTTTAAAAAACCTCGCTGACTTCTTTTGAACTGGGAAAATTCACTTACATTTATATTGCAATCATGTTATATGCTGACAATCATCGCCTAGCTCCGTGTTCATCTACAGCCCCCTTCGATCATCTTTTTTTTTTCTGCCTCATCTCATCTCCGTGCAGGATCTAACTCAAATTCCCGGGTACAAAATTTTCATGCATCCGGTCAAGGAAAAAGAGTGGCCAAACTATTATTCACAGATCAGCGAGCCGATGGATTTGTCCCAGATCCGGATGAAAATTAACGAGAATGCCTATGCGACGCGTGAGGAGTTCCTCGCGGATATTCGACTGATCTATAACAACTCTTTACGGTTCAATGGTATGCTCCAACCACCATCACCCGTCTCTTTATGTTGTTCTTGCTTCTGAAGTTACTAGATTTTATGTGTGTGGTGCGCGCATCATGATATCAACGTAAAAACGCATTGCTGAATCGAGATATCTTTCGCCTAACACCAAAATGGTTTATTTGAATTGATACCAAAACAGGTTAATAGAACAGTAAGTGAATAGTCTAAGGGATTGCTACCTGACCGTATCAGAGTGTCTAATTTTTGTGGTTCTGTTCTGTCCTTGGCTCCAGACTAGATAGAGAGAGAGAACTACATTTGATTGGCTGAACACTGCTCAGTACGTGCTCAACAAGCACACCAGACAAACGAGACTCACTGAGGTCCGGTAAGCTGTTCTGCGTACCGAATGTGAGCAATGCGATGGTAACGTGCTCAAAATAATCGTCGCAAGTGTTCTCTTCCTGACAGTTCCTGCCCAGGCATTTGTTCGATATCCTGTCGTGCATAGATAGAATCCAGAGGCGAAACACTGTCCGATGATTCTCTACGAGAGAATGATGAAACCCGTGCGAATCACTATCCGTTGACATCTCCTACTTCCGGATATAATTAGCACAATACTATACAAGAATTGAATAGAGATCAAAGCATTGTTTTACTCTCATGTGGAGAAATGACAAACAACAAAACCTGTTTGAAAAGGTTAATGCTATCGTTACCGGAACGACTGATCTATGTTGCGTGAAATCGAAGTCAATATCACCTCTGACCCATACTATTTACTGTTCACTTCCTTGAATAGCCATTAACCGTACACTTCCATGTGGCGGTTTCGGTTGCTGTCTTCCATCCGTCCATTTGGATGAAGTGGTATAAGAAATATTGAGCGGATGCATGAATGCCATCCATCATTTACGATACGTACCCGTATCATCCGATGTCTCTAACCATTGATTATAATGGTTCCGAGGTCCCTATCCAGGGTGCTTAAGACGACCAATATGAATGACCTGGTTTCCTGGTCAAAGTGTTTCATACCCACATGCTTAGTCTTGATTTCTAGTTTTTTTGCTTCGTACTGGCTAGCACCTTATATTCGTCTGGAAACGTTCTGCAGTCGCCCACTCTCAAAATACCACCACAAAACTCCTGGGCTCGATGTGGGTGAGGGAACAGGTTCTAACGGAATGGTGTGAATCTGTCGTAATACCGATTTACAAGAAAGGTTATCTTGTGAAAACCACAGAGCATTGCCTCTAAACTTCTCGCCGGGATCATACTCCGTCGATTGTCTGCCGCACGTGAACGGTGTACGCGTGCGAACCAGGCTGGTTTTAGACCTGGTCGAGGCTGTATCGACCACATCTTCACACTTCATCAACTCCTAGAATACAGACACTCTTTTCGTAGACTCACCATTTCCATCTTCCCCGATCTGAAAGCTGCTTTCGACTTAATCGATCGCTCTAAACTTTGGTGCTGCCTTTCTCTGGAGTTTAACCAATACTATGATCCCTTTTTACGAATAACCGAAGCCGAGCTTACCATATTTTTTCACCCGAGTTTACCACAGAAAGTGGTGTTCGTCAGGGTTGTCTTCTCTCTCTTTTTCTACTTAACTTTGTTATAGATCTGATCATGAAAACAGCCGTATCCTCGTGTGAGGATAGCGGCATCGTTTTACTCCCAGATCGCAGACTGTATGAATATACAGATGACATTGTGCTACTAAGTGAAGATCCAGGTAAGTTGCAAGCTTTTCTGGAAAGTTTGAGTGCTAGTGTATCCATG